CTTTTTTTGTTCTCACATGTTCACAGTCAGTTACAAAGCCAACAGCACTTGCATGGCAGCTAAAAATGAGTGTATATCTTCTTGATAAGTTGCTACACAGTAATACTGCCATGCATATTTTTTAATGCTAATCTTTTTCTCCATAACTTTGACCCAGAGCAGATCCAAGCTCTGTTTATGATAGATCCTCTTTTCTGGATCCCTGCATAAATTGAAACTAAGGAAAAGTAGAAAAAACCTGTCACAATTAGCATGCAGGGCAGTATACTATTTATTGTGTGACTGATAAATACCTGGAGCAAAATAAGGAGCAGTGATTAAATTTGAGTGTGCATTTTTGTAACAAGTTTCATATTTTTAAGCAAGAACATTTTGGTACTCCATGAAGATGCCTTTCTATATAAAGAGCTCATTTATATTTGTTTCCCACATGCTTCCAAGAATGATGTAGCATCTGAAACTAAAAATATGTTTCAGTTACTATCTTATGAAGGCTGTCACTGATGACAAAACAGGAGAAGGAGAGAATTTTAAGCATGAATTTTTGCATTTCCATAGAAGTACAGATGTAGAAGAAACTGTAAATCCCACATATTGTAAAGCGGGAAAACATTTAGTTTACAAACAAGCAGAGAAGAAAAGCATAAGAGTAAAACACTACTGTATTCAATGGCTATTGGGAGGCAGCTCTACTTGTTGCCGAGTGGTTTTACCTTTTTTATGTGGCTGTCTTTTTTGTACATAAGTTTTTTGGTTTTACACGGGTGATTGAGGAAGAGGCCTCAGAAGCTGAAATCTGGCTTGCTGTCAACAGAGAAATTTTAAATTTAAGCACTGAATCAGTCAAGGTGCAGTTTTGCTCCCACAGTAGTTCCCTTCTTGCAGAGTGGGAGCAACTAGAATCAGATTACTTAATGGCTTCAAAGGGCATATGTTGAATAGTTCAAGCCTAAAAATGAATCACCATAAACCAGTTTTTCTTTATTAAAGGCCTGGTTTGGGGACTTTAAATATTACTCTCATTATTGTTGAGCACTTTGTAAAAGGGCTGTTTTATATAGCATCCACAAAGAGGCCAAACTGTTTATTAAATTGTCCTACACGTACTCAGTGGCCCCAGTGCTTGCCAGTTTTAGCTGAAAGGTATGAGGCATGTCACTTATGTTTCCAGATCATGTAATGATCATAATTTTGCAGAAAAGTACAGTCACACCAGAACAGAACATATTGCTCGACGTTTTGGTCAAGGGATTTCACATCCTCTTGTAATAAGAGTAACAACTTCGCAGACAGGAGTATCTAAACACCAGGCTGAGAGCACAGCTGGGGACCCTTCAGATCCCTCCTCTCTGGTCCGACCCTCCCATCTTGCTGGTCGGGATTCTCTCCTGCTTGTTTGAACTGTCACAGAAGATGTGATTACACAGATGTGGTTTTTTGAAACAAATTTAGTTTGTAAAACTTAGAAGAATCTCACTCTGATATACCAAAATAAATAAAGACATAAAAAACCAATCCCAAACCCAACCAACCAAACAGAAGATGGAGCCAGAGAGCAGTTTTTAAAGCAAATTGCCAAAGATGAGGAATTCGGTTTGCTCCAACTCCTAAACTCCAAACAAGACTGCAGATGAGAAACTGGAGAAAGTCTTCCAAGGCTCTGGTGCAGTATGAGGGCATGGAAAGAGGCTCTGCTGTGTGTGAATGCATCAGTCCAAAACAGCACAGCTTCCTTCTTGAGGTGGTCTGTCCTCACCCCGCACATGAATACGAAGGCCACTATTACTGCTCTTAGGCAGGCAGCCTAATTCTGCTCTATCCAAATCAAAAGAGTGAAAGTCAACCTGCATCAAGGATATAAAGGCCAAAACTAACAGACATTTCATTTACCACGGTGTCATGCCAAAATGTAGAGTAAAAGAAATGACACTAAGAAAGGAAGATGAGGTAATATTAATTCATTTTGCATTTTTCAGCTTGTTTTTCACTCTGTATTACTGATGGATATACTTTTCCAAGAACGTTCAGATAATCCAAGCATACCTAGTAGCCACACTTCTTACTGATTCAGAATTTATGTTAACAAGAAAAAGATCCTTTAGAGGGTGTTGTCATATAAATTTTCTTCCATGTAAGTTTTGCAATTTCCTGCAAAAAGCAAATACCAGAGGAGCATCTAATAATTCTCAATCCTACAATTTTTTTTTAATCCAGAAAAAGAACTGAATAAGATTGCTTTTCTTGGCTTCAAATTCAGTTACTAAGTTGTCTTGCTTTCAGTCCTAGCAATATTTTTAATCCATGCAATCTGACCTGAAAGCTATGACAGATAATGAAAAAAGATCTTCTAGGAAGTATTTATAAGATTTATTTCCTTATTTTTTTCCCTTTACACAGGGAAAAACTTTTCTACACTACCCTAATTTTGCTTCTGTAGATACTCATTAAACTTGATGTCTACAGCAATTCTAACTTTGTCTGAACTGTCATGCAAGACATGATTAGCTGCTTTTTAAAACAAATGTAGTTTGTAAAACTTCTAACTAAAGTATTTTTGTCCATTAGTTTTTGTCATTATAGGAAAACTGTTTTTTAAAAGTTTTTGATGGTATTGTCTGTGACAGTGGTAGATCTAGTCTTATTGGTAATTTCAATGCCTTTTCCACCATCACAACAATACCCTTTTAGCCTGTCAGGTAAAATGGAGGATGAAGCTTCAGGTTCTCACTTTGAAATCTTTCTATTTCTTCTTTGCTTCCCTTCCTCCTCTCACCAGGTTTCCATCCATTACTTTTTCTTCCCTCAGTCATAATAAAATTGCTTCTGTGTGCAATAATTTCCCAACAATATTTCCCCATCTCATCAGGGAGAGTAGAGCAGTGACCTCAAGTTTGCCCACCTGGTAAAATCGTGGACTAGACCTCAGGACACCTTTCTATTATTCAAGTATTTTCTGGGTTTTGCAGAGGAAATCACTATTACAGATAAGCTTTAAAAAATGCCCTTAAGAATTTTATCTTGAATGGCTGCTGGATCCTCGCTTGCATTGTGTTGTCCTTTTTTTTTTCCTTCCCCTCTCCCTAAAAGGTAACTTATTTCTGAAGATCAAACACTTACATGAAGCATATATTTGATTTCAGCATATTATTATTTGACTTTGGTCCAAAATGCATGCCCACCTATCAGTGTTTTCCTCCAAAGGTCTTAAACCTTGAAGGACTAGTTGGACCTGAAATTTTTTAAGAACATAGGAAAGATAAGGTTAAAAGGGAAATGTGATGTTTCAATAGGCAATTAAAGAAGATCCAGCTGATTTGGGGGATATGGAGGACCTAGTTCCAGTCCTGTGACCCACAGCTTTGCCTATCAAGACATTTGTTTTCTCAACTACTTTCTTCCTCAAAAGTGTGTTTGGAAAAAAGTATTCTGGGTCTCCCAAGAGCCTGTAGCCTGTTGTCTCCAACATATGCTCAGCCCCTTATTATCTATCAGTGATGCACAGTGCCTAATCTCAAATGCAACTGCAAAGTCAGCAGACCTTGCCAGACTTCAGTTGTAAAAGACAATTTTAGGTACATGTCCATTCTGAAGACTATCAAGCATGTCATAATCTTCAAAGAATATCTCGCTCCTCACCAAGTAGTGCGACAAGCATTTTTATCTGTAGGTCTAACCTAGGACTGCAGGATCATCCATACCAGTAAGAAGGTGGGGTCTTTGCCTCTTTAGTAGTAGTTCCCATCTAAGAATTACGAGAAAGAGATGTTATCTAATCCGATCACACATCCTTAGGGAAATAGTATGAGACTGCCGATTCACTTCCTATAAGATGTTACATAAGCCTTTGGCTGTTGCTGACCAGACCTTTCCCTCTACACTTATGAACATCTCATAGTTTAGTTGAGAAACCTTAAATGTCTTGCTGTGGTCCTGCAGATACTGCTTTTTTAGTATAACAGAGATTACTAATATCTTGAAATTTTAGTTTTTGTCCCAAGCACTTAACAATATCTTTCCTCTGTTGCCTACATCTACTACATAGGCAACATGAGTGTGAGTGGGCAATCAGGATTTGTTCTATAGTTGATGCTGCTGCATGTTACTCCTGCAGATAAATTAAACTCCTGATCGTGGATATTTTCATACCTGATATTTTTCATGGAGAACTGCTGCTCATTGGCTTAGTGTGGGTAAATTTAGAGTTACAGCTGAAATAACACTTTCCAATCTGCTGACAACTTCTGCGATGTAGGACAACATGTTCAGACATTGAGCATGATTTTCCATAATCTTTGGAGACAGATTATGAAAGTTTGGCATATGCCTCAGGAAGAAGTTGCCTTTTCACTGGCTTTAGAACAGAGCTCTGGGCAAATTATCTCACTTTCTCAGACCTCGGTGAACCTGTCCGGAAAAGAGAGTGAAGAGTAGCCTCTTGATGAAAATGAGCTGCTGGAAGTCAGTGTCGTTTCCCTTAGGAATAAGCTGTCTGAAGGTGAATTTCTGATGCCGTCGCGTTGCAGCCCTGCTGCCAGCCCTGCCTTCCTGCGCCCCTGTCTAACATAGCAGTAGAAATCTCGTATTTACCTTCAGTTCCAAGAAAAATTCAGATAGCAAAATGTAAACAGAGGGAAGCAGACGCCCCTCTGTTTAATCTTTTTTTCGCCAAGCGGCCACCGCAGTGCGGCCGCGGGACGGACCGCTCGGCAGCAGCACCGTGCCGACAGATGATACCCGGGCATTGCTCGGGAGCGGGACTCGCTCGCCGGGCTGCCCCCAGAGGACAGCCCGCAGCCTGGGAGGGTGGCCATGGCAGGAGATGTGTGGTTGAACCCCCGCCTAACCGAAGGATTCCCCTCGTGAAGGCGCGGCGCCGCAACCCCTGTCAGCGACATGGCGCAGCTGCCGCCATTTCCACCCCCAGGCCCCAGAGCCCCGCCCGGCCCGGCCTGCTCGGGGGCGGTGCGCCGCCGCCCGCGCTGGTTCCTGATTTCCCAGGGAGAGCCCGGCTCCGGCAAGTCCCTCCTCCGCCTCGGCGGTGCGGGCCGCCTCCCTCCCCTCCCCTCCGGCCGTAAGCCTCCTCCGGCGCAGCGGCGGTGCCCGCCGGCCCCATGGCGGCGGAGCCCCAGCCCAAGGCGCTGACTCGCAAGCCTCTCCTGCTCAACAAGGTGGAGGGCTCGCAGGAGGTGGTGAACATGGCAGCGATAGTGCCCAAGGAGGACGGGGTCATCAGCGTCTCCGAGGACAGGTACTGGGAGTGGGCGTCCAGAGGTTCTGGGGGCCGCGGTGATGGTCTGTTCCCTTCCCAGCACCGCTCGCCGGCACTGGTGGCAGTGGGGGACCCGGGCGGCGGGGTCCCGGGTGGTGCCCCACCACCACCATCACCGACGAGCGGTGCTGGGAGGGGACGGGTCCTGCCGTGGTGGTTCACCACCACCGCCGGCGAGTGATGGTGGTGACAGACCAGCAGCGTCTGTGACGGGACTGTACACTCCACCACCGGAGCCTGGGCAAGCGTCAGGGTGCCGGTGGTCCAGCATGGGGACATTGGTTTAGGCAGCTACATCAGGTCCTGGAGGGGAAGAAGCTTGGAGCAGGAGTCTCCAGCCTGGTGTCCCCCTTCTCCACCGTAGTATGGGTCAGGGCAGCGACTGGGCTGGAACGCTGCTAAAACTTGCAGGACTTGAGTGACTTTTCTTGACGTGGGTAAAATGGGATTTGAGATCCCCTTCATCACAAGGGTAGAGAGATCTTTGTCCTTGCCTAAAGATTGCGGTGGCATTGACCAGAATAGTAGTTTTGGTTCCCGTTTCCCCTCTCCAAACGTTTCTTTGTAATTGTTAAAAAATACCATGTATCAGCGATAAGATCTTGAAGTTAAATCCCATGTAAAGCTGCCAAAGAGGAGAATGCTTTCAGGCCGTTTAGCAGGGCCGTGTAGGGTCTGAGGCTGCCCAGAGGCAACTCTGTCTCTTCTGAAAGATCTCAGACTTAATTCAGCCCTGCAGCTGGAGCTTCAAAACTCTTCAAAACAGATTTTTACTTTAACGGCTTGTTTTTCTTGTGATGGCCATAAATATTACTTTAAGTGGATTTTCTTCACAACTCAGGTGCACGGTGTAACCTGTGTCCTAAGATTGGAAGACACAGTGTGTCAGTGTTTGGATAACCAAGGGTATTTTGATGGACTGTTTCTCATGGAATTGAGTGTCTGCTTTTCTGTGTCTGTGAGCTTTCTGAAATACAGTCAATCAGTCAATATTTCTTTCATTTTGTCTTTGTCCCCCCTGTGACTTAGTTTTTAGCTAACTGCCAAATATGTGCAAATTTAAGATCATTTAAGTTCACCTAGGCTGAGGTCTCCAAGTGAACTCATGCCTTGTAGCAAGAGGAACTAAGATACTTAAACAAGTACGCTGTCAAAGGGACTTTAAGCAGACTTTTACATTACTATGTACTCACGATTTTATTGTCTTTACACTTTTTATGTATTTGATGTGATGTTGAACAAAGCTTGAGCTTGTTTTGGTTCATTGTAGCTTGTTAGGCTTACTTGGCCAATTCTTTTTACCTCTAAGAAGGTATTCCTGAAATTCGTTTCCTCTCATATAAGTGTCTCTCTCAATCTCTGCCTCTCCCCCTACCTTAGAAAAAAATAAGTAACTTTACTTGTTGATAATAGGTTGATGCTCCAGGCTGATATTTCTGTGTAGAGAAAGGGATTGATCAGACATATTTGTTTTCACTGGTAACTGATACTGAAACAAACAGTGAAGAAGAAGCCAGGGGTTTCACACTAAGAAACTCCCTAGTTCATGAGCACCACCCTCATCCTTCCCATCCCACAGCAAATCCCTGGTGTAAGTCGGTTAAGTCCTGCTTGCTGATGAAAGTGGGTATAGAAATCTTCTGCTAGAGTTGCTGATAGATGTCTAAAGTTTTGCTGGTGATATAGGATAGCTCTACAGACATTAAAGTACTGGAGTAAGTCTGGAGGTTCTGGAGGCTGTTTTCTGTTTCAAGGCATTAACCAGGTAATGTGCTTGCTTGTGGGGCTGTTTTGCAGTGTCCTTGAGATGCTGTAAACTGTGATCCTGCCTTTTATTTCTTTAGGCATGAAGACGCTGGTTGATGGCTCTTTCTTTCATTTTCTGCCTGCATTAGCATTTTTATTGTAATTAAAAGGTTAAGAGTCTAAGACTTATTTGAAAGGAATAGCAGACTGGGAGTCTAATTTGGAGATTTTAGGATACCTGGGGCTAAAGCATAATTTACCAGACTTTCAATACCTGTGTATTATGATTAGGCTTGTGCAGATTCTTATGGTAAGTTTTCGTTCTGGTAAATTGCCTTCTAGTGTTGGTGTTGACTTGGTTGTTTAATGGTTTTGGAATGTGAAGGACTTTTAGAGCATCCTAGAAACTGCAAAGGACTGTGTTGTGGAGATATTATCTGTCTCTTTACTTGTTAGCCAAATAAGTGAGTTTCATCCATGTTTCCCAGCCTGTGATATGCACTGCTCATATGAGAAATGTTCTGAAACTTCTGCAGAGAACTTCAGCTGAATGACTCACCACCTCCAGCATTTACTTCAGGTTGGGACATCTTCTGTAGATGAAGGAAAAATTGTTTTGCTGGCTAATGACTGAACATATCATTATTGAAGTTGCTGGTAGTCTTAGCATATGCAACAGCTAGGTATCACTTTAAAGGCTTCCTTTGCTGCATGATGTGGCCTTATACCCCTAAACATGAGCTAGCTTGGTCTCTGGTGTTAATTTTGTATGGCACTAATGGTTTTATCTGGTTTTAAACAACACGGAAGTGGTTTCAGCTATAGCTTGCAGACATAGTCATGCATTATACAGCCCTGAATCGTATTTGTAGCACATGCATGCACATATTTGAAAAAAAATTAAATGAAAACTGAGTAATAATAGAGGGTGTGGTTATTCCTCATAAAAAGTGGCACAGAGGGGAAAAAGTACAAATCTCAGGGGGGTTACATATTTAAGTAGGTTATCTAAACTTTACATACTCTGCAAGGTTGGAGTTTCTTTTTAGTGTGTGTCATCTGTATGCTCTACAGATTTTCTCTTCTGAATCATGATCAGTCATGTTAATTGAGTGATGTGTATTGTGTCCTAATCTTAGTGGGTTTTCTTATTCCTTACTCGGGCAAAATAGACTGAGCCTCTATGTACAATACCGCTGGTGTGTATAGGGAGGGATAAGGTATTTTGTATTTTTCTTCTAGGGAAAGGAATGCACCTGTCTAGGCAGGTGGGAGTTAAAGTAGTGGCAACATTTGTTATCCAAGAATGTATAAATCTGATGCAGGATGGCTCTAAGAAAGAAGTTATTAACTTTCATCCATGCTCTTTCACCTGCCAGTAAACGTGTGGAATTAACAGACATATGTAGCCTAACATAGAGTGTCTTGATTGATCAATAGCATTGAATGCCCATGTGAAGCTAAAGTGGGATTTCCCTAAAGTGCACAGCTGACCCTAAGTTGTCATCTGTTCCTCTGTATTAAAAGCATGTGCTACTATTTCAAAATTGCTGAGAGTCCTTGTCTTTTGTTGCCTTCAGAGGGAGATGCGGTTGTTGGGCATGTCTGAAAAGTAGGTCACTGGCATGTCAAGTTCAGACATATCTAACTCTATGCTCCAGAGAAGATTTAGTGTCATTAATCTTACCTGGGCATGGGGATACAGTGGGACAAGTGCACTGACTCACCCAGCTTTCAGTGCAAGCAGTTCTGATTGATGTTGACAAACTTCTGTGTTTCTCAAGAGCCTGCCAGTGATGTGAGTGGTAATTCAGATGGGTGTCTGATGTGCTGATCGTGTGTCACCGTGAAAGACTAGCAGGAGGGGGCTGGGTGTGTCGTGGTAAACCTGCACTTTGCCACTAGCCGTCTTTTTACCGCTAGCTGTATTGTAGGTGAGGAAAGCTTAGACATGGGCTGGTGTAAGTAGCTTTCCTGGTAATTATGAACTCTGGTCTATGCCCTTTTTCGAGTGGGAGTTCTGTGCTCACTTCCATGCTACAGACCTTGTAAATTGTATATCAAATGTAAGTGTTGCAGTCAAGAACTGTTCTCCCTAAAGTATTCACAAGAAGTAAAAGTTTTCATAGCCAACTGAAAATTGTCAAAATCCTTTGTTTTTAAAAAATGGGCATTCTAGTCTCTTAGAAGGTGACAAGACCTAGGAGAAAAATATTTATGCCATAGGTTTTTTATATTTTCTTTTTGAATAAGGGAGTAGAGACCTTTGTCTTCACTACCTTGTATCATCTTAAGTTCCTTTTGAACTCAGATGTCTCAGCTTCTTTGTATGGATCACTGTATAAACAGTGTCTTCATCTCACATAGAGGAAACTGTGCAGAGCTTGTGTTCCTAGGTTTGCTTTACAGTTTGAGGTTTCTAAATACAGATGTGCACTTAAGCTGTTGTTCAAGACTTGTCTTCTACACATGCTAAATAGCAGGTTTTTAAAGGGGCACAAAAAATTAAAGTCCATCTCGTGTAAATGAAATATCTTTGCTAAACTAGTGGTGAACTAGGCATGGGAATGTGCATATGTGACAAGAAATGTGGGACTTGTCTTTGGCTTCCTGCTGACATGCCTTCTGGCCTGGAGAACTGTGATCTTTCCACCCTTAAGTATATCAAAAGCAATCTTTTTTTCCTTGTGGTTTTCTTGTCCAGATCCAGAACATTAAGCATATAGCATTATAGTTCATGCCTGTGAAAAACCTCCAATGGAAATGTGGGATTCTTTACAGAATGCTGCATTCAGGCAGGGTGTGAGGAACTGCAGAACCTTGGTAAACTCTCTGGGTTTCCTTTCTTCTATGGTGGAGTCGTAGAAAGTGATTGCTTTGCCCAGCAGTGTGGTTGCAGTACAGGTCTGTAATTCTTATTTAAGCACAAGGTTATGTCGCTGATACCTGCTGTGCCTTGTATGTGGCTGTTGCTTCACAGCAGAAGTGCAGGTGGCGTGAGAGCTGATTTTGATACTGTTTGTGTATGTTCATTGGTCTAAGCCTGTAGGTTTCACACCCCGTGATTGCAGCATGAGCAGTAGCTCAAGCAGTGCAGGAGGTGTGGATGCTCTTCACAGGTGTAAGAAGACTTGTCCCTTCCTTGAGGTTTTTTAAATTTTGATAAAAATTTCTGTCACTGATAAAGTTGTTGAAAGGAAATGAAGAGACCTATTGCTGTAGATGCAACTTAG